GAAATCGAAATCGTCCAGGAATCGTAGAAGTGATCACAAACTGGCCCAAAGCTAAAGACTTCAGAATGCCACCGGAAGAGGTGGTGACATGTGCTGAGGAAGCCGCACCACATAATGAACTCTCAGATAATGAGAAACAGTATGCTCTGTTCACTGATGGATCTTGTCGTATTGTAGGAAAACATCCAAGGTGGAAGGATGCTGTGTGGAGTCCTACGCGACGAGTCACAGAAGCTGCTGAAGGACAAGGTGAATCGAGCCAGTCTGCAGAGGTGAAAGCCATCCAGCTGGCTTTAGACATTGCTGAAAGAGAAAAATGGCCAGTACTTTATCTCTATAGTGACTCATGGATGGTGGCAAATTCTCTGTGGGAGTGGTTACAGCAGTGGAAGCTGAGCAACTGGCAGCGCAGATGCAAATCCATCTGGGCTGCCCCACTGTGGCAAGATATTGCTGCCCAGATAGAGAATCTGGTTGTGAAAGTATGTCAGGTAGATGCCCACGTACCCAAGAGTCAGGCCACTGACGAACAGCAAAACAACCGGCAGGTGGATTGGGCTGGCAACATAAGGGTGAATTATTCACAGCTCAGTGGGCCCATGACACCTCAGGCCATCAAGGAAGAGATGCAACATATAGATGTGCTCGAGACCAAGGGGTGGACTTGACCATGGACACTGTTTCACAGGTTATCCATGAATGTGAAACGTGTGCTGCAATCAAGGAAGCCAAGCGGTTAAAGCCTCTTTGTTATGGAGGATGATGGCTGAAATATAAATATGAGGAGGCCTGGCAGATCGATTATATCACACTCCCACAGACCCGCCAAGGCAAGCGCCACGTGCTCACAATGGTGGAAACAACCACCGGATAGCTGGAAACATACCCTGTGCCCCGTGCCACCGCCCGGAACACTATCCTGGGCCTTGAAAAGCAAGACTTATGGCAACATGGCACCCCAGAACGAATTGAGTCAGACAACGGGACTCATTTCCGAAACAGCCTCATAGACACCTGGGCCAAAGAGCATGGCATTGAGTGGGTATATCACATTCCCTATCATGCACCAGCCTCTGGATGAACTTTGATGAAACCAAGCAAAGTGCAGCGGTGATAGAACCAGAACTGCCTTCGGCAGCTGGCACCCAGCAACTTCCTCAAGATCGACATCTTCAACCTTCAGACTATGGGCATGGGCCGCACCGGATACACCAGCCACAAGCTCTGAATTACAGCATGCAACAGTCCATCACGACACGCCATCTCGCCTGCCCTGAGCGACTGTTCTAATAGATGGAGCCCAAAGTCATTGGATTAAATGAACTCAATGGACATTTTAGAGGGATGGCCCATAGACTAAGGGAATTATATCTGTATGTACATATATATCAAAGACAGGGTAAACTGGTGATAATTCATTGGAAACCGTAAGATCTGGGCATGACGCAGATGGTATAGAATAAGGGGTGGATAATGTCCTGGTTCCGGAGGGGATAGGGTTAATTTTCAGAAGGAGCTGTCACAGGATACAGGTATTCCATACCATGTGACTGCTATGCCCAGTATATAGCCAGGGGAGCTTGCCGGGGGAGGGGTCAGTAAGTAGTTTCTTGGGGCTTCTCCAGTGCAGTTGGTCATACATTAATCGTGTTTTGTACATTCCTCTATCAGTATTGCTGTTCTCCTCTTTCCTTTGCTGTTCTGTTAAACTGCCTTTATTCCAATCCATAAGCTTTGCCTTTTCCTTCCGATTCTGCCCCTCCATCCCATCCCACAGCTGTGGGGAGGTGAGCTAGCAGCTTTGTGGTTCTTTGTTGCCGGCTGGAGTTAAACCAGGATAGGTGCACTCCCCCCTGTCCCCCCTGCCCCCAACCGGATCTTTATCTCCGGTAACCCTTAGATTAAACATTAGGAAGAAGTTTTTCACTTTAAGGGTGGTAAGGCACTGGAACAGGTTGCCCAGAGAGGTGGTTGAGGCCCCATCCCTGGAGGTGTTCAAGGCCACTGAGGAACATGAAAACAATCAATAAGTGGATCAGGCTGCTAAGATTTTCCAGATCAATTTGGACTGGGAACATAAGGGTGAACTATTCTTAGCTCGGTGGGCCCATGACACTTCAGGTCATCAAGGAAGGGACGCAACATATAAATGGGCCCGTGACCAAGGGTTGGATTTAACTATGGATGCTATTGCGCAGGTTATCCACGATTGTGAAACACGTGCCAAAATCAAGCAAGCGAAACTGTTAAAACCTTTGTGGTATGGGGGACTATGGTTAAAATATAAGCATGGGGAGGCCTGGAAAAGTGACTATATCACACACCCTCAAACCCTCCAGGGTAAATGCTATGTGCTTACAATGGTGGAAGCAAGCACCGGATAGTTGGAAGCCTATGGAGTACCTCCTCCCCCCTCCTTCTTCACTAACCTTGGTGTCTGCATAGTTGTTTCTCTCACATATTCTCAACTCTTCTCTTCTGGCTGCTGTTCCATAGCAGTTTTTCTCCCCTCCTTAAATATGTTATCGCAGAGGTGCTACCACCATCGCTGATTGGCTCAGCTTTGGCCAGCAGCAGGTCTGTCTTGGAGCCGGCTGGCACTGGCTCTATCAGACATGATGGAAGCTTCTGGTTTCTTCTCACAGAAGCCACCCCTGTAGCCCCCCTGCTACCAAAACCTGGCCACACAAACCCAATACAGATGTAAATCCAGAAACCTCACTGACAAAGCAAGAGCAGCAGCATCAGGGAAGACACAGACAGGTACAGGAGACCAGCTTTACAGGTATCACTTCCCATCTTCATCTCTCGGCTTTCACCTCTACTGTGAAAAAACTTAACACACATTAACACAACCAAAGAGATTATTTTATTCAGAGGTTTGGTCTAAATATTTGTTTCTTTACTGTCAAGAATTCTTGCCCCTTCAGGACTGCCTAGTACCAGACACACTTGTTTGGATATTAATTCTGAGAAAACCAAAACAAGCAACACAACCAAATGCTCTCAGCAGTGACAGTAAAGCAGTTTGAGTTTTGTTTTCCAGCTTTTCTGACTAACCAGGAACCCCATTTCCTTGTTTCAAACTGTCACATTTCCCACCTGGGAAGGAAAGCTGGGCAACTGCTTTACCTGCACCCACAGAGACAGCAGCTGCTGACCCACCAGCTGCTGAATGTCCTTCTTAGACAAGTTTTAATTTCAGCCCCACCGCTATAAGCTGGTGAAGCTCAATGCTACAGGATACAATGCAAGGCAATCTGCCCTGGTCCTACTCATCATCCATCTCCACATCGCTAGATACTTGCTAGCTACATCTCTCCTCCGCATCATTTTGTTTCAAGTAAAGGTACGTAATTAACATAGCTGAGTACCTCAAAGAGAATTCCAGAAGTTAACACTGGACCCAAATGAGATGTTTTGGTCATATAAAGTTAACAACATAATGGAGACAAATGCCATCTCCTTTGGGGTCCTGATGAGCTAAACCCTCCTATTGAAAAACCTAAACTGAGGCAATGAGCCAAGTCATTTTCCCCTCCCAAAGTCCAATGATCCCAGCTCCATGCTGTAACATGAGTTTGGATCCCCAGGCTTGGTTTTTGCAACTAAACAAAAATAAGCCACAGAAAAAAGCAGCACATTCCACCACTGCAGCTGCCTGCCTGGAGACCTCTGGTTGTTCTGCCCAACACAGACAGGATCCAGCAAGTTCTTCATCTGCTGAAGCCAAAAAGCATGAGAGATGGAAACCATGACACTGGGAATTATATTTGAGTGTTTTATTAGTTGTTCTTCTGTAGAATCAAAATATTTAGCAAATTATTTTAAAGATTCCTCAAGACTGCTGATATTTTATGTATTTAGAACTTGAACGATGTACAACGTAATACTTTGAACTATCAAAACCAACCCAAAACCTGATTTCTAGTACTAGATGTTATTATAGCAGTCTATAGCAGTGTAAGAAATGGAACTAATGCAGTGGGTACATTTGTTTTAAAGAAAGTGCTTGAAAGAAACATCCTGCATCACACTATTATTTAAAACAAAAAGATAACTGATTTCCTTGCAGGGCATTGTCTTAAATATCCTACAAAGCTGGGGGATTAAGAATACTGAGCCCCAGCTCTCTGCCTTCAGGTTCAAGAACCAACACCACAAGTTGCAGGTCCAGATATAGTTCACAGCATACCTGTTTCAAGCAGCATTGGACGCTCATGTCTGGCAGAAGTGTTGGATGCATAGGTAAAAAAGACAAAACAAAAAACCACACAAGAGGAGCAACTTCTCTCTTTATGCATAGTAAAACACTGGTTCGGGAACTGTTGCTAAGTTACAGACTAACTTTCAATCAAAAAATAAAACTCCATTGCACTAAAGGTCAAATTTAACCAATTAATCTGGACTATGACACAGTCAAGTAATTCAGTACAAGCAGACACTATGAAAGCAGCTTCAAAGAACCAAAGCATCCTATTTTCAGAACCAACTTAGTATTCTGTCCAACTCCAGTGCAACAGTGAGGCGGAGAAACCACTCCTGTCTCTGCCTATGTACAATTCCAGTAGAATTCCAGTGAGCAGTTCATGGCCAAGCTGGAAAAAGGAAACTTAGCAAAGGACACGTTACAAATCTAATTAAAGAAAAATAGTTGGCTCTCAGTGGAAAGAGAAATGCAGGTAAAAAAGACAAAACAAAAAACCACACAAGAGGAGCAACTTCTCTCTTTATGCATAGTAAAACACTGGTTCGGGAACTGTTGCTAAGTTACAGACTAACTTTCAATCAAAAAATAAAACTCCATTGCACTAAAGGTCAAATTTAACCAATTAATCTGGACTATGACACAGTCAAGTAATTCAGTACAAGCAGACACTATGAAAGCAGCTTCAAAGAACCAAAGCATCCTATTTTCAGAAACAACTTAGTATTCTTCTGTCCAACTCCAGTGCAACAGTGAGGGGGGAAACCACTCCCGTCTCTACCTATGTACAATGTTAGAGTAGAGGTTGGGCATCCTTAATGTCTTTTAGTTCAAAGCCCATTTCTTTAAATTGACTCATTAGTTGGAGAAGTTCTGTGATCTGAAAGACACAGACAGCCCATTATTTGCAAGAGAAAAGAGGATCAGTGCTTGGTGGAGGTTTAGCACAGAGTCAGTCTTCAGTGACTGGGAACCCCATGGGGTAGATTCCTACTCCCCAAGTACAGTCCATTCCAGCTCTGTTTGGAGAAAGTCCACTCACACCAGAGCTGGCAGAGCTCTGGGTACAGTAGCCCATGGAGCCCCATCTTCAGTCCCCTGTGTTTGCAGTCCTGCATTTCCAAAATACTCTTCAGCAAGGGCACCAAAGCTCAGTCTGTGGGAGTGTCTCTCCCAGTAGGAAATTTATCAGCCTGGACTAATTTGGACTCCGATTAATGCTACACTGCTCCCCCCATCTAGCAGCTACTGCTGCATCTGATTTTATTAATTTTTTTAAAGTTACTTTGACTTTGGGAACAGTACAGTAGCCCTTTGCTATCAAATGGCTCTTCAGATCTAGGGCAAACTTAGGGGATTAGCACAAATCCTATTGGATGCACTGTGTATGATACTACCAACATCAACCATGAATCTTCCCCGAGCTTTGAAAAAAATAAAGTAACAATAAGCGTATCAGCTGATCAGACCTTTATGAACCCTCTGTCATTTACAGGGCCTCCACTTCACTGGGGAGGGGGGACGGGACGGGGAACAACGGACACGGGGACACAACCATAAAAAAAAAAAAAAAAATCCCCAAAACCAGGTTGAAATGGAAAATCAGGCGATAAGCCATTTCCAATTTTGGGGTTAAGCCACTAGCAAATGAGTTTCCTGAACTCAGTCACTTCTCCCATCTTCACACTGTTCTTCCTCTGTTTGCAAGCTCATCACTAAGTCCAAGAAAGGCAGGAAGGCATATATATGTCTAGGGGTGTTGGGTTGCACCTCTAAAGATTTCATATAATAACTTGGCACACAACAGGCTGGCAAACTTTAAAAGATCCTGCTGTCCTCTGCCCTGGCTACCCACTCCTGCCTCTGTACTTTTGGTGCTGGTAAAATAGCCAGACAATGAACCAGACCCCCAAAAACATATTTTTCAGCTTCTTCCAGAGATAGCACTAACCCAATTTGCTGAGCAGCCAGGCAGATGCATTTGTACAGGGAAGAAAATTCACGGCCAGGGCAGGCTGACAGGGTTTGAAAGATAATTTGCTGCTTCTCTGTACCAAGCACCTTGCCCACAAGAGAACTCTGGGTTCAAAACATTACAACCAGAATAAGCAAGGTCTTTAAAAAAACCTGTCCCCATAAAAATGCATGCAAGTGAGAGTGATAAAGCAATGCAGAAGAATTCTAATTCACTTTATCACTGCAAGGATGTCCTTCAACCGTCAGTTTTGGAAACAAGGCAGCATTACCATGAAAGCCAGAATTACATCATCCAGAGGAACTATTGCTGGAATTGCCCATCATGGCACGTTCTCTCTGTTCCTTAGCACATTGCACCCTCACCTTCTTCTCTGAACACCGGTGCATTTCCAAAGCTGCTTCAACAAGAAGTGGATCAAAGCCCTTCTCACAAAGCTGTCCATGTGCAAACAGGTAATCCAAAACCTGTGGGGAATGAAGAATTTGCAGAGTGGCATTCGCTGCATGCGGTTGTACACGCAGAGGGGCTGAGCACGACTCTACCCCAGGCTTCACCAGAGACTGAGATAAAGTCCTTCCTAGTAGAGTTGAGATGCTCTTTATGCAAGAGCTTGTTCAGAGAAGACAAACAAGCCCTTCTGTCCTCCTGTGCTCTCCCACCAGCTCTGAACATCATCTTCCACTAGTCAAAACAGTCTTAGAAACCTATCTTTAGTCTTCCATGCCTGATCACTGAGCAGAAGGCAGAAGTTTAACCAGGTTTTTAATACTGCAAGTTTTTAAAATGAAACCATAGGTCCAGCAGTCAAGATGTGTCAGCTTTTAGCTTCCTCTCAGACAGCTGAAAGAGCTGATGCAGTCTGAAAGCAGTCAGCCTTTTAAGATCAACTCAGCATACTGAGTAAGCTGCAAATCCCAGCTCACACCCAGAAATTGCTGCCAAATTTCTTATCCATCCTCAGCTTTGAGAGGTATGGGGAAAGGTCAGATAGGTAATGCTAGGTACATGAAAGAACGCAGCCTGCAAAACCAGCAGGACTTAAAACCATCCTCCAAAGTGACATTTTTTCTGTTTGATACTACAGTTCACTGCAGCACACAACTTAAAACACTCTCGATGCATAGGTAGTAGGCAAGCAGATCAGCTCCACAAGCAGAAGCCACTGGGACACTCCTCCTCCTCCTCCCCAGGTGACAGGCACAGTCCTGCCAGGAGTTGCTCTGTGCATCACACAGCCTGCCTAGGGTCAGCACAGAAAGTTTGGCCACACTCCCCGCTTTAAAAATGTTTTTTTGAAGTGGATCCAGGACCCAGAGCCATGCTTTACCCTGCAGCGCTTTATGCTATGTGACCTGGTTTTAGCAAGCATTTGAGTCAACATGAGGCAGGAAGCATCACAACCAGAGCACACAAAAGAAAGTTGGTCAGTGGTGCCTTGCAAGAGCCTACAAAGAGAGATGTCGGCATCATAACCCATGCTCAGAACAAGAGAAGTTGGCTGTTTTTTTTTGTCACATGGCACTAAGCATGGCATAGAGCCACACTAAGCTTCCTTCAGATGGTTTTGTGGCTCCTGGGAATGCCTAGTCCTTCTCCCAGCTTCACGTGGATCTAAGGGCCCATCTCAAGCTCAGCGCAGCTCCAACCCAGCACCCATAGGTGTGGCTGACTCAAGCAGTCTCTCATCAGAAACATGTGCAAACACTTTTTTTTTTGTGAGCCTTTACTGCCAGGTGACAACTTCTCTAGCGGTTAATATCGCAGCAGCTACAGGCTGCAACCCCTTGTCAGAATAAAAGTATTCCCCCTATCCTTTTTGCAAACCCAAGGTTGTTTCTCAGCAGAATCAGCGTCCAATCAAGTATTTCTTCCCAATTGCACAAGCTCTTACCTGGTCTATGTTCTGTCCCTTCTTCTTCATGGCTTTCAGGACATTCTCAGGCGAGTACCCCATGTTGACAACCATCTCTACACACTGCTTCTCGCTAGCGGAGAGGACCTGCTGTATTTCAGGAGCAGGGCCACCTGACTGCTTTGTGCATCTGGTGTTATTGGGCACTTTAGACAGTGGGAAATTTTGGTGTGTTACCTAAAGGGGAAAACCCAGAGACTGAGGTGATGGTCATCTTCTGCATCCCCACATGCTGTTTCTGGCTAGTACAGAACCAGGATACCCCATGTAATTAAACCAAGAGGCTTTCTAGACTGCCCTTGGGAAGTTACTCACTGCTAGGATGAAACTAAGCAGTGCAGATAGTCTGACTCCCACCATACTGTTTTTACCCTCAAAACAACAATCAAAAACCCAGATTCTTCACAATATACCCTCTACTACCGGTGGATGAAAACCTTTCAATACCAAACCTTATGATATAGTCAAACCCTCCACCTCAGAGGAAGCATGGACATTGCTTCCTTCACCCCAAGTTTACTCATCACCTATGATTTTCTGTACTCAAAGGAACACTACTTCTGAAGATTTTCAGAAACATGATCCAGTGCAATCACACAAGTATTTGAGATCTTACCGCAGGGATTACTGTTTCCTTGTAGTCTGGTTGTACCTGTTGGACAACACACGAATAAGATGACTATAAACAACATACACCAGTGAGAAGAATTTGCTACAGTTGGGGGAGAAGGGTTTTATGGGAGAGATCTGGGAATAAGTCTGCCATACAGGGAGACTTGTGGTCTGATCAGGCTTTCACATGTGAGGTGCAGCTGTGTGTAGTTATAGAATAGCCATCATAAGGATCATTTCTTCTCTCAGCACTCTACAAAAACAGATTATACTCCAAGAAGGATGTGTCCCCCCTCATAATAATTGTAAACTTGTTTATTCTGCCACTGTGACTGCTACATGTTCATACAGCTCAGTGTAACACGCTGGCTCCTGTTCAGCTCTTGACCCAGTACTACGCTGCCTAAATGAAAGCGATAATTTTAAAGTCATCACCTAGAGACTTCCCTTGGGGTTTTTTTGACCATGAGAAGCAGTAAAAGAAACATATACCCCTTTTCTACTCTCAAAGCACTCCATTTCATACGCTATATATGAGCAATGTGGCACGCTGGCTAAGAAGAGCATATGATTTTTCTACCAATGCCCAACACTTGGTCCCATTCCCAGTATGGCAACAAGGCTGGGTAACGTTCCCTGCTGTACACCTGCTCCATTTCTACAGAATCAGGCTGCCAGAGGGCAGAACCAACCCACCGCTTTATACTACTTTGGCCAAGGTAACAGGAGTGCAAAGTCTGCAAATTCAAATCTGCACATCTCAATTCATCCATTTAAAAGTCTTCCTGCATTTTAAATCAAATTAGAAAAGACTGCAAGAAATTACTTTGGACCAAGAGCCTCTGTTTATTGTCTTTCCTTAATACCTTTTTAAGCCAACATAGATTGCTTGAAAGCTTGTCCACTTCTTTCAGAAAAGCCTTCTTTGGGCCCAAACTTAAAAAAAAAAAAAACCCCACACACCACAACAACAAAAAACTGTTTAGAGAAAAACAATTTTGAGACTATATATCAGGATTTGGGCAAATTCCATTGGGGGGAGAGAAAAAAAAAAAAAAAAGGAGGCTTTGTTCTGCATTTCTGACCATTTTCATCTCAAGGGTAAGAATTTATCTTCTAGGAGACAAAGCCCGAGAAATCATGATCAGTCTGATGGACTGGTTTACCCAAGAATCTCTCCTCATGGTGATAGAAGGGTTCAAAGCTCTTCACATACACCCTTCCCTCCAGGCGCTTTTGCCAGAGCCTTTATTTCACAATTAATAATGCATTTACCTAAGCCTGAAACGAGGAGAAAGAACAACAGGAGAGAAGCAGTGTCAGTTGTTTCACACAAAAACATACAGTATGCCAGTAAGGCCACAGAACCAACTGAAGCACCGCTTATATTGGACAGAAGCAGCCAGATTATTTTAGAGCCAGCTAGAGGATTTGACTACACAGTTTCCACTAGGCTTCATGAGTATTGGTGTCCAGATCTTAGGTTCTTTGGAAAAAAAAGTCCACAAGCTTACTCAAATCTCTGCTTTTATTCACAAAGAGACAAAGACAACAGCTGGTGTGAAGTTAAGTGTCCCCAAAGTAATTTTAGAACTTGCTACAAGTTTGAGGAAATGAAGCATCAAACTCCTGTCTCAGAGCTGTATAGCAACCAACTGTAACATTAGTGATCTGAGATGATCCTCAAGACTGCTTTTGGTATCCACAAAGCAATCCTTCCACCCTCCTTTACAAGGAAGAGGGTAAATACCAGATTTCAGACCATCATTTCCATCCATTTAAAGGTTAGATTTTAAAAGGATCTCAGGAATGAAAAAAAATTTAAAAAGAGAGACAGACAATTCTTTCACTGCAGGTCAACTGCAAGCACTTTTTTCTTCCCTGAATGACACAGCACGTGTTTTTTAATCTGTTATCGCTTCTATTCCTTGAAAAGCCTGCATTTCCCATTATTTCCAGCAAATAAATAAGCAAGCCAAGGAACAAATCTAGCAGAGATTTAACTCAAGACCTAAGAGCAGTTCAGAATCTGCTATATCTCAGTTGGATAAAACAGAATGCAGGACTGCACAAAGAAGATCTCATACGGTTAGCTCTAAGATGTGCAACTATGAACAACAAGAGCTGAAAAGCTGAAAGAAAAGTCACCAGAATTGGTCTAAAAATATCAGATTTGGGGGAAACCTACGGAATAATAATCTGAGGTTCAGAACTGCCAGCACGAAGACCTGTTTGATTGATCAATTTGCCACATAAATAAAGAGGAATTACCACACATGATCTACACATCTCTCCCATTAAATGAACCTAAAACCATGGGACATTTTAAAAGCAATGTTTGCCTCCGCACCTCCACATCTCCCCAGCAACCCTGATTCTAAATCCACTGCATGTTTACCATAGCTGCTGTGCTTTGAGATGATTCTTCTTCCATACAAACTGTTGACGCAGCCAGGGAAGGCAGCCTGGATGATGAGGATAATGTTGATGTCTCCATGCCACTGTCCTCATTTAGAGCGGAAAGACCAACCATATGGTGTCCATTCAGTTCACTAGCTTTACTCTGAGCACAGGTCTGCAAAGAGCTGAGCAAAGTGCCATTGTGGAGACAGGTAGTGCTGTGGAAAGAGCTTGTGAGCTTTGATGATTTTTGATCACTCTCATCAGAGTCAAGTTTAGGAAAGGACAGGGATTTGATATTGCTCACTGAAGTGATAGGGGACAGGGACACTTTGGAAGACTGCAGTAAAGTGATAAAGCCATTGGGTTTGTGAAGGGGCTTGAAGTCCAACGTGGCCCTTTCTATGGATGCCAGAACTTCCTCATCTTGCAACACAGACTCAGGCTCTCCTTTGGGCAAAGTATTATCCAACAGCTTGGCAACAATTGGCCCAGTAGTACTAACATGAATTTCAAGGATATTTTTTAATTCCTCCTTATCATCAATAGTTTTCAATTCCAGTTTGTCAAATGGGTCTTCTTCACATTCAAAATCAGCTGGGTTGAAGTCTGCTTTTGGACGAGGTGGACTGAGAACCTTTTGCTTCACAGCACTGCTGTTGGCTGGTGTGGGAGTAAGAATATTATTGTGCTGCAGGCTAGCGAGGATGGGGTTAATAGGAGGAGGCACGGCCTCAGGGCAAGGTCCCTCTGAGAACCCCATTTTGTTGCTGACCTCTGGAGCTACTTTTGAGCTCGCTAGTGCTCAAAAGGAAAAACACAAAAGAAAGTTGGTCAGTGGTGCCTTGCAAGAGCCTACAAAGAGAGATGTTGGCATCGTAACCCATGCTCAGAACAAGAGAAGTTGGCTGGTTTTTTTTGTCACATGGCACTAAGCATGGCATGTATGGAGTTGTGTTTTGGATTTGTGGCTAAACCAGTTTTGATAACACACCAGTGTTTTGGCTATTCATGACCAGTGCTTGCACAGCATCTATAACAATGCACACTGTAGGCAACAAGCAGGAGGAACTGGAGGCCACGGCCTCAGGGCAAGGTCCCTCTGAGAACTCCATTTTGTTGCTGACCTCTGGAGCTACTTCTGAGCTCGCTAGTGCTTCTTCTGCCTTGCATTCAGCTTCTCTCTGGGCAGCCTCAATTTTTCTGATATCTTCAGCCCACTCAATTGTTTTCTTTTCCAGTGAGAAGTCATACTGACCCAGGGTGGAGGGGAAAGGAGAAGAGAAAAAACAAATAAGTTTTAAGGATCACAGCCACTACTTTTAACAGCAACGTAAGTAACACAGAATAAGAGCTACATGAATTACCATGGACAGGCATCCATTTTTTTCCCCAGCATCTCTTGTAACCTAGACTCGCAAAGCTAGAAGACACCAGAAGCAGTTTATTTTGCCTCTAGCAACAAAACCTATCTATAATCTGGATTAGAATATCATATTTTGCCTCCTTCCTACATTTAGATTTGCTTTAGAGCTACTGATCATCCCAAGATCAGTTTCACAGCCCTCCCACCCTCTCCCCCCAAGACAACAGATGTAGCAAGATGTCTGGCACCACTGAACTACCCCCTATCCACAACTTCCACAAATCATTCAAGACTATGGCAGAGTATTTCTGCATCCCAAGACCAATACGGTATTACTCAGTTCCCCCTAAAAGATTCTTAAGGGACTGGATATTAGAGTTTTACACCTGCTAGTTTAAGAGGTATTGGTATTCTTACGCCAGTACCAATGGCTCACCAACCAAAGGGGATATACTGGCTACACTGATGATAACTACCTGCAGTAGCAGATTTTGCTGCAGGCTAGCTGTAACCTGTTTGCCGTACATCTGGAAATAAATTCCCACTCAGAACTGCACAGAGAACAAGAACTGGGAATGTACTTCTCCATCCCACTACCATGAGAACCCATAAAATATAGTCATAGAAACACTTGTTACCCTCAAACAAGATTCTGCAAGTATGCCATAGCATGGGTCTATCAGTTCTTACCGTTTTTCCTCTTAAAAATGATACTCAAATTTAGTCAGGGTAACTTTCAAACCTATAACTATTACACAAAAACGTGCTTTTTTGAAGTAGATAGCTTAATAGCATTTATTTTAGTATTTTTAAAGCAATAAGTAGAAACTTTTTGCATGGCCTATCATATTTTTATCTTTCTATACGTTGTAACAGATCTTCTGCAACTATTGCCAGGCACACTGTCCTGGTTTGAGCGACAGGATTAATTTCTCCTTCAGTAATTTTACTTTTTGGTAAGGTCTCTTCTGATGCTTGGGAAGACTGCACTTTTAGAAGACTCCAGTGTCTGAATTTGGGAAAATATTTACTTTGTAGCCACCTATGGTGTGTGGGTTTCAAGGTCTCAGTGTTTTCGAGCTTGCCAGGTGCAGGGATGAGGAGGAGCAAGACCTGAGCACTTGGCCCAAGCTGGCCAACAGGGTTATTTCATACCATCAATGTCACATTCACTATAAATTAGAAACCTTGCTGCAAAGTTCTCTCTCTCCCTTGATGGCTGCGATCCAGAGAACTTCTTGCCCCGGTGCCAGACCCCTGAGGCCTTCCCTTCCTCCTGAAGCCGTAGCGCTCGCAGTGTCAGACATGCACAGCTTCCTACTGATAAAATTGGCTGAGTATAATCCTTGTGCCTTTTACATTGGCATCGGGATCAATATTGGTTTCTTAGTGTTATTAATGTTAATTAATTAGTATTATTCTATTAAATCTGTTTATACTTTAACTCCTGGGTTTCCTCGTTTTTTCTGATTCCCCTTTCCAGGTGGGGAGGGGTCATCGGGTGATAGAATAATTGTCTAAACGACAACAAATTTTGTGGCTTCTTCAAACCATAACACATACGAAATGACACTACAGGACAGACAAGACTAACATTTGAACACACGTGCAACCTGTGACTACTTGCAATTTACAGCACCACATGTTGGGGGATAGGGGGAAAGGCAAAATACATAACTTACCCAGGCTTCTCTGACAAGCTGAGAAGAGTCAGGCAGGCAGAAACCAATGGGTAATCCAACCTTTGCTGGGGTTTTGAATTTGTCTCCTATCTTAAATGGGACATCATCAAGATAACTGAAAGGGCCTAAGACCAAAAGCAGAAATTGTATCAAAAAAAAAAAACCCTTATGAATTTAATGTAGAAACACAGAATCACAGAATGGTCAGGGATGGAAGGGACCTCTGGAAATCATCTAGTCCAACCCCCCTGCCAGAGCAGGGTCACCTACAACAGGTTGCACAGGAGGGCGTCCAGGCGTGTTTTGAATGTCTCCAGAGTGGGAGACTCCACAACCTCTCTGGGCAGCCTGTTCCAGTGCTCTGCCACCCTCAAAGTAAAGAAGTTCCTCCTCATGTTCAGATGGAAATTCCTATGTTCAAGTTTGTGCCCGTTACCTCTTGTCCTATCACCGGGCACCACTGAAAAAAGACTGCTCCCATCCCCCTGGAACCTCCCCTTTAAGTATTTATATGTATTGATAAGATCCCCCCTCAATCTTCTTTCCTCAAGACTGAAAAGACCCAAGTCCCTCAGCCTTTCCTCATAAGAAAGATGCTCCA